ATAAAATAAGTATTAAAATAAACAGCTTTCCAGTATGGTTATAAAAAAAACTTGTTTATGACATTTTTTAAGGATAGACTATAACATGGGTCAAAATATTATATAAATTTAAAAAATAATTATTTATTTATAAATGCAGCATTCTCAAAGTCAGCTTTCTCATCTAAATTTCCCCCACGCCACAAAAATACATGAAATGTGTGCTCGGCGAGCAATGAGGCGTGAAGTGGCCGGTTTGCAGACACTTTTTATAATTCCCTCGAACATCCGCAATGAACATTTCACAGTCCAGTCAAGAGCGTAATGAGTGTTCATCCAAGAGTTACGTTGGAGATCGATGTGTGCTTCACACGCCATTGCAGGAGATATTAGTAAATATGATATTTCAGACAAGCTCGGAATCCGCACTTCAGTTTGCCTCAGTTGGCTGAGAATAAATATATTTTCAATCTTTTTAAGAGCTTCAGTTTAGTCTTACTAAAGCAGACGAACTGTATAGTGGATGGCAAACCATTGCCAAAACTCAGCCTTTTCCTCTCTTTCTGTCTAATATACAGTGCTTTTAGTTGTAATACGTGCAGGTTAGAAAAAGAAACTGATTGTTCTGGACTATTTAATTAATTTATTTATTTTTTTGTATTTTTTATTAGAATAAGTTGTTTTTTGGAGTTTGCATGTTTTCCCTGTGTTCGTGTGGGTTTCCTCCGGGTGCTCCGGTTTCCTCCACAAGTCCAAAGACATGCAGTACAGGTGAATTGGGTAGCCTAAATTGTCCGTAGTGTATGTTTGTGAATAAGTGTGTAGTGTATTGATGTTTCCCAGAGATGGGTTGCAGCTGGAAGGGCATCCGCTGCATAAAACATGTGCTGAATAAGTTGGCGGTTCATTCTGCTGTAGAGACCGCAGATTAATAAATGGACTAAGCTGAAAAAAGAAAAAGAATAAATAATATATAAGAAAAAAAAACAACGAAACAAAACAAAGCGAAACAAAACAAAGCGAAACAAAACGAAACGAAACGAAACAAAACAAAACAAAACAAAACAAAACGAAGCGAAACAAAACAAAACAAAACAAAACAAAACAAAACAAAACAAAACAAAACAAAACAAAACAAAAAAAAACAAAAAAAAACAAAAAAAAAACAAAAAACAAAACGAAGCGAAACAAAACAAAACAAAACAAAGCGAAACAAAACAAAACAAAAAAAAACAAAAAAAAACAAAAAAAAAACAAAAAACAAAACGAAGCGAAACAAAACAAAACAAAACAAAGCGAAACAAAACAAAACAAAACAAACAAAACAAAACAAAACAAAACAAAACAAAACAAAACAAAACAAAACAAAACAAAACAAAACAAAACAAAACAAAACAAAACAAAACAAAACAAACAAAACAAAACAAAACAAAACAAAATAAAACGAAATGAAACGTAACGTAACGAAACGTAACGTAACGAAACGAAACAGCTGTTGCTTTTGAGTGTGAAATGCTCACTTGCGGATGTACGGGGGAATTATATAAAGCGTCTGCTCCAGATTTTATCTACTGTATTTTTGTGGTGTGGGGAATTCAGATGAAGCTGTTGACTTTGACTTTCTTTTTTTCGGCAAAAAATGAGTTTGTAAAGCAGCCAAACTCTCTGTGTGATTGTGTGTGTGTGTTTGTGAGGTCTGGAAGTGTTTTCTCTCAGCTTAAAAATGACAAATTCTTTGACTAAAGGCCGATGCGTGATGCAACTCTCAGAAAGAGCATCCATATGTGTGGAGACAAACAAATCTACGAGTGTTATCTGAATGCTAAAACGCAAATAAACATGTGCCGCATGGCTTCTGCTCAGCTGATGAATGGAGATGAGGGAAAAGCAGCTGTTTGAAATGTTTTTGGACACTTATAAACGCGTGAATGTCATTGCAATAAATCACGTGTCTGGATTCGACCTCAAAACTGCATTTGAGTGTCATTGTCTTCAATATATGACAGTTAAGTTTTTTTTTTTTGCATATTTTTTATATAAATTTTCACATCAATTTGCCTGAATTTTGCAATTTAATGCTTTTTGTATTTATTGTATTTTGTATTATCTTTTATTTAATAAAATTCATGCATTTTAGGTGTTAATAAATGGCATTTACTGTAAAGGCGCATTTGCATATCTTTTAGTTATTATTATATTTAGTTTTTTATTGTATAAACTATTTAATCCCTAATATTGCACCGAAAATCTGCACCATTTTGTTTTCTTCTCAATGAATGTGTAATATAATTCATTCCTTTATTATCAATTAATAAAAAATCTACACTGTAGAGCCTTAAAGTGGATTTCTGCATCAATCTGTCTTGCCAGTTTGTATTTATTATCTACATATTTTATTTTGCAGTGCTATACAAACAAAACAGTTATTACTTTAATGTATTGGTATGTTGATTTACCTTATTAAAAATTATGCACTTTTTAAAATCTATTTTAATTTCTCTCGTTCGGGCCAATGCAGACTCAAATTTAAATAAATAAATGCACAGTTCCTTAAATTTCATTATGCATCAATCTACGTTTGATATACACTCACTGGCCACTTTATTAGGTACACCTCTCCAACTGCTCGTTAATGCAAATATCTAATCAGCCAATCACATGGCAGCAACTCAATGTGTTTAGGCATGTAGACATGTTAGAGATTTAAGTGACTTTGAACATGACATGGTTAGTGCCAGATGGGCTGGTCTGATTATTTCAGAAACTGCTGATCTACTGGGATTTTCACGCACAACCATCTCCAGGATTTACAGAGAATGGTCAGAAAAAGATATATATCAAGTGAGCGGTAGTTCTGTGAACGTCTTAAAGCGTGAATCATCTCAGACTGGTTTCTTGAACATGACAATGAGTTCACTGTACTCAATTGGCCTCCACAGTCACCAGAGCTCAATCCAATAGAGCACCTTTGGGATGTGGTGGAACGGGAGATTTGCCGACAAATCTGCAGCAACTGCGTGATGCTGTCATGTCAATATGGAGCTAAATCTCTGAGGAATATTTCCAGTACCTTGATAAATCTATGCCAAGAGGGATTAAAGCAGATCTGAAGGCAAAAGGGGGTCTCACCCGGTACTAGTAAGGTGTACCTAATAAAGTGGCCATATATTATGCACTTTTTATAGATTTTAATTTCTCTCTTTCAGGCTAATGCAAAGAGCATCAAAATAGAAAAAGGTGCAATATCTACAACACAAACCATCACACAGTTAATTTCTGCATCAATCCATCAACACTGCATTTATCCAAACACAATAACTGCTTCCTCATGTCTGTTAATTCAGCTTAAGATTGCAGCATCAGCTCTATAAGACACAGGTAATGCTTCAGCAAATACTGTGTCAAACTGAAACACATCATTCTGCTTTGGCTTTAAAGGCATTGAGACTGATGGAGATTTCCAAGAGTGATGACGTGACGTTTACCTGCTTCTACTGCGGTAACAGTGATGTTGTGCCAGCCGGCGGTCTCCCTGTCCAGGATCTTGCCCAGAGTGATGGCACCCGTTACTGGATCAATATTAAAGATCTGCTCCTGGTCTGTGCTCCGCTCTATAGAAAACCTGCACACAAATACATATAGAAAAAAAATAAGAAATGCACTGACATTTATATATTAATTTTTATATTTTTTTATAAGTTTCATTAAATGTTTTATTTATTTTGATTTGATATAAATGAGTAAAGTTGTATCAAATTATCAGTGACATTTGAAACATTATTATTAACAGTAACATTATTTTATGAGGATTTTTTTTAACCTTTTTTATTATTATTTTGTTTTTATATACATTTTATTTTATTTTTATGGTATTTTAGAGTCACACACATTAGAAAACTATTCTAGATTTTTTTCTGCACAAGTTGGATTTAATTAATTAATTACCTAATACATACAGTTGAAGTCAAAATTATCCACCCTTCTGTGATTTTATTTTATTTTTTACAAATATTTCCCAATTGATGTTTAACAGAGCAAGGAATTTTTCACAGTATTTCTTATAGTGTTTTTTCCACTGGAAAAAGTCTGATTTGTTTTATTTCGGCTAGAATTAAAGCATTTCTATAGTATTTTTTAAAGACCTATTTAAGGTCAATATTAGCCCCTTTAAGCATTATTTATTTTCAATTGTCTACAGAACAAACCATCGTTATACAATGACTTGCCTAATTACTCTAACTTATTTAATGAAATTAGTTAAGCCTTTAAATGTCACTTAAGCTGAAAAACTAGTATCTTGAAAACTGTCTAGTCAAATATTATGTTCTGTCATCATGACAAAGATAAAATAAATCAGTAAGTAGAAATGAGTTATTTATAATATTATGATTAGAAATGTGTTGAAAAAAATATATAATATAATATATACGGGGGGGTACTAATTCAGGAATATTGTCTAATATTTCTGACTTTAACTGTGTATTAGCATATCTATCTGTTATCAAAGAAAATATCAAAAAATTTAATTGCTAAAATTAAATAAATTAAATAAAATTTTAAAAATTCTGAAATTAAATCAAAGAAAGTTAAAATTTACATCAAGCTAAAATAAAAATGAAATAAACTCTAGTAAATTAAACACTAGGGACCCACAAATTAATTATTTTGACACATTAGTCAATTAGCATATGTATTCATATAAGAATAAAATAGTATACTTATATAGGGATCCGTACTTATTAAAATATACAAAAGAAAAAAGTGATTTTACTAAGATTGATTCAAAATTAAAAGAATAAAATGTCATACAGTCTAATGAAATAAATATTTACACAGTTGAAGAATTATTAGCCCCCATTTATTTTTTACTCAACTTCTGTTTAACGGAGAGAAGATTTCTGCAACACATTTCTTAACGTAATAGTTTTAATATCTTATTTCTAATAACTGATTTATTTTATCTTTGCCATGATGACAGTAAATAATATTTGACTAGATATTTTTCAAGACACTTCTATACAGCTTAAAGTGACATTT